CAGGCACCCACTATAGTTTATTATTCTTATACTAGCGGCTGCCCGCGACTTCGTACGCGTGGAGTTAGAAATAAAGGTACACTGCTCGTTCCCCGAAGGTGATAGCGTGATAATGTTAGAGTAGCCTATAATTATGTTGACCCGACTTCTTAATAATATTCGTGCCAAATTTGAAGTAAATCCCTGCAGTACTTTTTGAGTTTATCCCGGACATACATACAGACAAACAGACAAAAATTCTCAAAACTATATTTTTGGCTTCGGTATCGATTGCAGATCATCAGAAAAAAATATTCAATGTACAGTTTTGACTTATATATATATTTATATAGATTACTCTTATACTAATATACTATATTGACACATGACTCGAAGTTGCTGTTGGATGAGCACGTAAATCAAGAAATATCTGAATCTACCAAAGCTTTAGGGTTTGCGATTCATAACCACACACAAAATATTATACTGGCGTTAAAAAAACTTAAAAATGAAACACTAGGCAAGTATATTGTTCTTTCGCCCGCGGTGGCTTGGCTTGGATATTAAAGTAAATGAAGGCAAAAATCAGCTACAACCTCCGATTTCATTGAACCTCCATCGATTTTCAGGAAAATTGGTGAGTAGGTGGGGGATACCTTAAGAAATAAAAGTGACATAGTGCCAACTTGCGCTTTGCGCTTTTGCCCTGATGCCCTTCTCGGGGGTGAAAATTATTTTAATAAAAATAACTCCAGAAATCGATAGAGAGACAAATTCTAAGCAAAACTTGTTATATAAAGTTTTTGAAATAAATCAATAGTTTCAGCGTTATTAAAGATCAAAGATTGTGGTTTTTCGTGATAAAAATGTTATAAAGCGGTTTTTCATAAATGAGTTTTTACAAAAAAATTTATAATACATTACCAAAATTGAAGCTCATAAAAGAACAAACAAACCCCTATTTTGAAAAACCTTCTAATATGAATTCAAAGTGAGCTATAGGTAATTAGATGTATTTTTTTTCGGGGAGTACTTAAATCTAAGTATTCAAACTTAAATAACGGGGAACCCATGCATTTTATGATAATTATATTCTTTCTGAACACTTTAAATTCCTTGGAAATACCTTTCTAATGAGCACTGTAAAAAGTTAACAGCATCAAAATTGAGCAAGTTATGATAAAAATAAGATGAAACTTTCGAAAATTTGTTTTGGAAAAAAAAATCTGGTTATTAAGGACCTAAAGGACTTTCTTTTCTTTAGCATAAGCGATGACCTTAAAAATTTTGTCCGGCTTAGAATGCTATTTTTCAAAAAAAGTACTTATAATTTAATAAAATCGGAATTTTTCATATTTTCGTGAATTTCATTTTCTTTTGAAAATAACTTCAAAAATATTGGAAATTCGTAAAAAATGATAAATAACGAAATTTGAGTTGTTTTTTAACAAAAATTTTGGTTTTTATTGTATTTTTATAGGATGAAAAATAACTGACTTATTATTATTTAACCGGGACCCTTTAACCCTTTATCTTTTAAAAATAAGGGCTTTAAAAAGTCTTATGGATGAACCTGATATCTTAAAAATTAACGGAGTTATTGTAAAAAAACAAATTATATTTTTAAAGCCCTTACTTCTTGAAAGATAAAGAGTTAAAGGGTCCCGGTTAAATAATAATAAGGATAGATAACTTGCTCAGCGCTTACAATCAGGTAGACACAACTGTGATACTGGCCCAAACCATAAATATTTTGACGTAACAACGTCTTATAATTCGATGGAGCCGGTTGCAGGCACAAAAATCATGACTCATGCGGCGTTACCTCGCTCTGAGGCGTTCCATTAAAGGCTTGAAGTGCAAGCGAGAGCGCGTATCGAGCGACAAAGAGGCACAATCGGCCTCCGCGTTCGGCAGCATTCGACATCTGTCTCTCTCCTACTTGAGTGAGCGATGCGTCCGCGTGGTCAGCTGCTATACAATAATACATTTACATGTTTTCGTCAAGTATGAAGTGCAGTGAAAAGGATTCTTTCGATTTTAAATATATGTTCAGTGATATAATTGCCAAATATACGTGCTTTCATCATTAAAATATTACACTCGAGACACTCCCTTTCATTTCTACTTTTCCTATCATCGTCCTATTCTCAACAGAATAACACAAATTGTAATAAGTTAAAATATCACACATGTTTAAAAGTTGTAAAACAATTGCTCAAAACACATTCATACTCGTTAAAACTATGTACATTGTAAAAAACGTTATCACGTTCAACTACCGTCAGTAAACCGATTTTACAGACAACCGATTTTTTAATAAGAAAGGAGAATGCCCGATAGCGTCCCTATCCCTATCTCAAATAAAAGGTCTTCTGAAATACTAATTTTATTTGTATGACAGTATATCTATTGGAATTAAAAAGATATGAGCAAAACTAAACCTAAAATGATTTTAACTAGGTAGGTAGGTGATAAAATTGGCAATAACTTCTTTGTAATATATTAACACAATCCCTTGCATAAAAAAACGAGCGAGCCTTACAGTAGTCGCGTATGGTGTGTAACATTTGAAACCTCACCTTATATTAAAATATTAGTAAAAAAATGAACAAAACCTACTACAAAAGGAATAATACATTTGAAGATTATGTTCTAAAATCAAATCAAATAGCGCTCGCTTCCCAAACTTCCTGTTACACACTTCCTTCACGTAATCACTCCCACAAATAGCATGAAAGCGATAGGAAAGATGTTACACATCAAAATATAAATAAAATAACTTTGAAATATAAATAAAGACAATAGGCTAGTTTACTCACGTCGAATTGTATTAAATAAATGTTTATTTCTTAAAGTGCTTAGTCTAAGGAACCTTAATATATCGATTTCACTTCATAAAAGCAGAAGATTGCTGTAGAAATTTAATTTTAAAAAATATTTTTTAGTCTATATTTTTTAAACACTAAAAACGCTGTTCGCCACATTCGCCATGATTTTGACGTCTCTTGTGGTAAACAACTAAATGTCATTCGCGTGTTACTGTAGGTGGATTCTTTCGTCTGACTAAATTTATCTTAAAACACTTTTAACTTTAGGAAAGAAAAAAACAGTAAACTTAGTTTTTTTTGACTAAACAAATTATGGATGACGGCTTTGTGAAAGCAGAAAGCTCAAATCTGCCAAGAATTGACGCATTGATGGTTGGTGAATTTGTTGCACTAAACCCCGATTTCTGCTCTGCGGAGCAGAGAAACGACAAGGCATCTATGTAAGTACAGTGCATTTAGTATTACAATGTAGTAATAAACATAAAACTGATACAACATATGAATAAGTGTAATAAAGTTGCGTAGGTTAATTTCTTTCGGCACTTTAATCCACAACTTTCCTGGAGTCTTCAAGGATGTGTTTTTATATTCTCGTACAATACAGTAATGATAATTACTTTATTTTTCGTGGTATTTATTAGAAATCATGTTTTTTTTTTATTATAAACTCAGTTAAAAGTAATTTTCTACGTGTTTACGAGTTTTTGTTTACCCTCAGACCAAATAAAAAGTTTTTATTTGGTCTGAGTGTTTACCACAGTTCACGTCATAGCATAGATAATCTATAGACTAAAATGGCCGACAGCGTTTTTGTATGTCCATGAAGTCTATTTTAAAATTAAAGATTTGTAGCTTTCTAGGTTTAAAAAAAATACAATACATTTTTTTTCGGTCTAATAGAACATTTATTAACCATTTAAAACCTTTTTCCAAAAAGAGTCAACTAGCCTATTAATATAACATCAACATATCTGTACTAGTCATAACTTGTTACAAGCTTGAGATGGCACTTTTAGTAAAATGGGCATTATTCAAATTCTCCTTTAGAAATAAGTTGGATTCTAGCGCACTACCCCGGAACTCCAGTCCCAGGTGTGCGATAGATAGAACTTGCATTTGCATTTCTTAATGGTAAAACACTGATATCTGCTGCTGCCGATAACTTTTGGATAAATCCAGTAACAACCCACGAATCCCACTTGAGGATTGGGGCAATGATAATCTAATTAATATAAAAGCAAGAGAGCACTGTTCTTTTTTCATCAAACCCGTACGTATTGAAGTTTCTAATAGCGTTTTTTTCTAAACTGTATATTTTGCGAGAGAGACACTTCCAAAGTGGTAAAATGTGTGCCCCCCTCCCCCCCTCCCCCGGCTTAAAAAAATATATGATGTACATTATTATGCAAACTACTACCGAAACTTGGTTTGAAAGAGATCTAGTAAATATGTTTTTTTAATAAGTCATAAATCACAAATCAATTAAAAAAATAGGTACTCTATTATTAAAACGTCGATCAAAGTTACAACGAACTACAAGAACTTTTATATTATGTTACTTGTTGCTACGGAATCCTTCATGGTCGAGTCCGACTTGCATTTGGCCGCTTTTTTATATCAAGGAATCTGGAGTTTACAAAAATGACAGGTCATTAACGAACTGCGCTTGCCACGACCACTGCTTGATCAACAGTTGCTGCGACCATTAAAAGTGAATGCTCATGCATTTATTTACTAGGTGTATTAGAAATTATTATGATTATTAGTTAGTCTACAGTCAAATGATTGAACAATGCTGCGCTTGCAGAACAGTAATAATAAGATGCCGTTGGAGATGCGACTTGAATCGTCCCTATATTGTTTAGGACAGAGTTTATAAAGTACATATGTACAATGTTTTTCAAGTTGAAAACTGATGGATTCTATGGGGTGAAAAAATAAAAACCAAAAATATAAGGTTGTACGGACTTAACATTCTTTGTTTTATACTTATCGGGAGAATATAAAAAAAAACCTGACGTTTCGTTCGTGACGTACAACTACAAGTTCTCGTTCGATTCGCCTTTCGTTTTGTTTGTAAAGCAAGAGAAGTATCCAGTAATCGTTGTTTATTCGTATTTTGGAATAAATAAGTATTATAGTTATTTTTCAAGAATTCAAAGTAGATGATAGTGCCAGTAAAATAAAAGTATGGCACCTAAATCGAAATATTCCACAAAAGGTAAGCAGAAAGTTTCAACCTAACCTATTTAAATAAAATCTTAAAAATTTTCATTCCTCTCGGTGCATTATGACGAAGACTAAAGAATGCATGTAGGAATTAGTTCAAATAGCAAAATTCTATGATGTTTCTGACATCAATCAATTAAATATTCACCTTTTAATATATTACCAAGTATGGGCTCGATGCATCTCAAGAGTATGAATCTCAAATAATATAGACTGAAAATAAGCATCCCTTTTTCAGTTTCTTGCCGGTTCTTCTTAGTTCTCCCGCAGCAAATTTACGAACCGATGGCGTAGCTTGCAGTCATTTCTGAGTGCTTGTAACAGCCTAAACTGAACAAATGAAATTTTGAGTTTGACTCCCAACATTATTAAATCAAATAATAGGTCCGAGTGATGGCTTAATCCTGTTTATAATATCATTGCATCTTTGTTAAGACTTCAACAAGGTTATCTTTTAACCCACTTGTTCCTGAACATATATTTTTTTGGCATTATCAATTTGAAACAGGCTACATTGTTATTTAGGAAATAGTGAATATAATGAATTTCTTATAAAATACTATTATGTAAGGGTATGATTTGTACATACATTCCAAACATGTTTTGTATATACACAATTGTTATGTGTACTTCACACATGTTTTGAATGTAATTATACTCCATTAACATTTCCATAACAGAAAGTGTTTGTTCAGTGGGCAATGCCTGGTGATGATCTCCGCCACCTGTCTCAGGCTGTTCCTGTCTATGAACAGACTTGCACACCCAATAGCAGATGGTTCTGGTACTAGAGTAACTAGAAAGGTTGGAGTGTGGTAACTCCAACCTTTCTAGTAATAGACCCCTCATTAAAGTGGTGTTCTACAATTTCTCTAAACTCCTTTCTGTCGTGGACTCACTCCGACCACCTTGAAAGAAAAAATAAGACATGGTCGACCTCCCTGCCCCCCGAAATCGTCTTACGTAATTAATGAATGGCCCCTTTATATAGCATTTTATTAAAAATTAAAATCTTTGTTGTTCTCAGACTCAGATTCTGGGTCAGACTCTGATAGCGGCTCAAGTGGCAGCCGTAGTAAGAGCCCCAGTCCAGCACCTTCTGGTAAAGAGGGCAGTCGTTCTCGGTAAGTTTCAAATTAGTGAAAACAGGATAATTGGCACCAGACTGTAATCAATTCATATTATCACATAAGTATTGTAAAGAAAATTTTACTTAAATAATTTCCACTGCCCACTTGTTGGCTGGATTTAAATTAGGGTGCTACAGTTATCGGGTAGATGCACTTATCGCTATGTTACTGAGACCTTAATGGATGTGTCGATTTCTGCTTTCAGATCTGTGTCAAGAAGTCCAGCAAGATCAGGAAGTGGATCTCCAAATTCAAATAGATCTCGGAAATCTTCGAATGCTTCAAATGCTTCTCGTAGCAAGTCCAATTCTCCAGCCCCATCAAAAGGATCTCGTTCTGGCTCAGCTCATAGCAACAAGTCAGGTTCCTCAAGTCCCAAGTCTCAGGCATCAGGGAGCCCTAAAACCAGAGCATCTAGGTCAAGATCTGGTAGTGGCTCTAGACGATCCCGTTCAGGATCAGGAAGCGCTCGCTCTCATTCAGGTAGTGCCAAATCCAGATCAGCCAGTCCAAAATCTGCAGCACAAAGTCCAAAGTCTCGCAGTTCTAAATCTAGATCTCAGAGTCCGAAGTCAAGGTCGCAATCGCAAAGTCCTAAATCAAGGTCTCAGAGTCCAAAATCTAGATCGCAGAGTCCAAAATCAAGGTCTCAAAGTCCATCAAGCCCCAAATCTCAAACTGCCAAAAGTAGATCTCGCTCAAAATCTCAAAGTGCTAGCCCTAAAAGTCGGAAATCGAGGTCAGGAAGTGGATCCTCAAGGTCTAAGAGTCCCGTTACAAGAGAGGATGTGCAGGATAGCCGATCGAATTCCCCAAATCTTATGATAGATGATGACCAGGGGAAGGAGAAGTCTAAAAGCAGATCAAGGTAATCTAATTTTGTTTTGATAATAATTGTTGTGTTCAAAATTTATTGATATATTGATGTTTAAATTTTTGTATTTAAGATCGGGCTCTCGACAATCAAGGTCAAAATCACGCAGCAAATCCAAATCAAAAAGTCGGTCAAGGTCGCAATCCAAGAGTTCTGAAGATGAAGTTGGTAAGCACAATTTGTATTGACTGACTTAAAGCTTCACTCAGAGACGTTGATATTTTTCTATTAGTATGATTAAAATTAAAATTCTGTCCCTTTGCTAAAGCAATAGAATAAGGTAGCACGTCATATTGACAAGCAATATATTTCATTGATGTATGAGTGTAGCTTGTAGTGTAGTAATATTTATTCAGAAATTTCTGGGAAACATGTGAGAAATAAATCTGTCTACTGGCAGACTATGGTTCTGGATTTATTTATATGTAGGATGAATTTTGAGTAAGGGATGGAATATTTCAATGATATTAAAATTAAAAATACTATAATTTTCTTTTTAGGAGAAAAAAAGAAACGTGCAGTGCTATCTGACTCTGACAGCGACGCAAGTGCTAAAGGGGCTTCAAAACGTAAGAAGGGCGGTTCTGACAGCGGCTCTGATAGCAGCAGTAAACCCACCAAGAAGAAAAGTAAAAAGATTATGGATTCTGATGATGAGAATCAGGAAAAAACAGGTATTTATAATGTACTAGCGGCCGCCCGCAACTTCGACCGCGTTAACTATAGTTTTTTGATAATTCCACCAAAAACCTGACATTTTTCAGGGAAAAATTATCCCATGTCCCAATCCAGGTGACAAACTATAGGTGTGCCAAATTTCATACAAATCTATTCAGCCGTTTTTGCGTGATTAAATAACAACCATACACACTTTCATATTTATTATAATAGTAGGCGATTCTTTGTTGCGTATAAAACATCCGTGTCATACACCCATACTGGTTGACTGGTAGAAAATGCCTATGGCATTAAGTCCGCCATTTACTGTATTTTGGTAATAAAGAATAAATAAATAAAGAAATAAATACATGCGTTATACTAGGCCTTCTTAACTTTGCCTTTTATTAGTTACGTGTGACACATCACCTTTAAATGAAAAATACTTAGATTTTAAATTACTTTCAGCTCCTTAGATGTAAAGGCTTGAAAATTTCAAAGTTTTGACAGATTGTGCAAATAAACCAGTAAATATGTAAACTTAACCACACGACCTTTTTGGAAGTGTAGGCAATCAATTGTCATTTTACACATTTTATCACCTCTTCATTGCCGATTGGCGGGTGCTAATGATTCCAGATGCAGCCGGGAACAAGACTTAACGTGCCTTCCGAAGCTCGGCGGAGCTAGAGATAGTACATTTTTGTAACCTATTCTATAACCGGCCATTGGGAAAGTTACTTAACTTTCCACGATCGCAGACCTAGTCACTATCTTCTTGCGTCATCCAGCTCCTCAAAAAATATTGCCTTATATTCTTCAGACCTAGCGTGTTATTTTTTTGGGTCTAGCACCTCGAGTCACATGTTATACATATTGTTTAAAATTTTCATTGTCACTAACACTATGATAATTTTTGTTATTAGCGGTGTTGCTACCATGTACCTTGTTTTTTAGAGTCCCCGGTATTTCGACACTGTTGCAAGCGCCATGATCCCTGAGCAACTGAAGTAATTGTAGGCAGGGTGTTATTGGCAGACATATCGGTCTACCCTCTGACGATCCCTTTTTTAGCACTTTGTTACTATTTTATCACACCAATTCTCGACACACGACACTTATCATTATCACCATCAGCCCGTTAATGTCCCCTTTGCTGCGGCAAAGGCCTACCTTATGAAAGATGAAATAGGGAGTTTGGACCATGACTCATTGGTGGGGCCTAACGGCTTAACGTGCCTTACGAAGCATGGAGGAGTTCGGGATAGTAAATTTTTGTTCACCCATCCAATGACCGACCACTGCGAAAGTTGCTGAAGTTCAACGCTTTCAATGGAACGCGCTAAAGTAAATAAAAGCATAAAACTACGTGTTACTTTATATAATAATTATAATGTAATATTTATAAATATACACAACTATTTAAGTACACTCCCAGATACATCTAATTTGTTATACCTTCGTATAATAACTTTTAGTGACTGCCGACGCTTTATTCGGCGATGCTTCGGATATAAGCACTGAAGACGAAGCCGAGAAGAGGTCCAGGTCGGGCTCACGGTCGAGGTCAAGGTCCAAGTCGAGGTCGCGCAGCAGAAGTGCGCAGAGGTCGGACGATGAACGACGTTCTGGGGACGAGGCTAAAGCTAGCGGGGATGAGGTGAGTTTGAACTTTTATTATAGTAATATAGAGTACAGAACAACGTTTTATTTATCAGATTTTCGAAACTCGAGGTCAAATTTCTTTTTTTCTAATATTTTCCAATGAACAAGTCATATGCAATTATTCTATACATAATCACGTTCTACACACTTTAAATAGGGAATTTTACAAGTTTTTTTATATTGTTCATAAAAAGTGAATATTTTTAATTCTGTTGAGTAATTCAGTAAAAAAAACTAAGTTAAAAATAATTTTTTAACTTAGTTTTTAACAGAGAAACGTTTTCGCGGGAACTTGAATATTTTAATATTCAAGTTCCCGCGAAAACGTTTCTCTGGACATTATGGCGTCTCACTAGTACGTGACGTCACACGACGGTCATTTAAACGTCAAACGATACGAAATGACATTTTGGCGGGAAGTTTACTAGAGTGTGACGTCATCTTAGTCTTGGCCAATCGCAGGCGTTTTCGGTCACGTGACCATGGAGCAAAAAAATCATATCAATTTAATGATTTTATAGAAAAGTTATTAACTATTTATTTGTTTCTTAGGTTTTCACGCACATCACTCATTAAATAAAACTAGTTTTTACGGGTTAATGCACGAAATTTTATTTATTTATTGACGTTTCGTAGCCGTTACAGGCTACGAAACAATTATAACAGTTATAAATAAACTCAAAATTACAAAAAAGAATTTTAAATAAAATACTTTATTAAGTAAATTAAATAATAAATTCATACATCTATACTTATAATAAATCTGTAGAGAGGTCAATTCTGTACATGAAATATATTTTCAAAATAACTATCAGTGGGTGATTAGTGATCGATACTGATGCCAAAAATGCAATCAGTAAAATTTTTGTCTGTCTGTCTGTGTGTATGTTCCTTATAGAAACAAAAACTACTCGACGGATTTTAACGAAACTTGGTACAATTATTCTTCATACTCCTGGGCAGGTTATAGTATACTTTTCATGACGCTACAGTCAATAGGAGCAGAGTAGTGAAGGGAAATGTTGGGAAAACGGGAGAAGTTACTCCATTTTTTTAGCTTCCGTTGCGTGTGCAGCCTTAATGGTTAAAGTTACATAGAAATCATGTATGACGGAAATATTCTACATAAAATTGTCTAAAAAATATCCCGCAACAGCATATGTCTATCTTTTATGGTTGACTCACAATAACACGTGTAACTCCTGATAGCTTAGCAGTTCGGAACATTCTGATTATATTTGTTTACTCTTACGTTTATAATACTCTCACTCATCCCTAATTTAAAAAAGTTAACATTATTACCTATTTAATAAAAAAAGAATCATAGAAATCGGTATAGAAACACCCAAACTTATACATGAAATAAGTCATCGCGCCGTCGCACGTGAATACTGAATCATGCTATAAGGATTATTTTATGTAACGGTTGCCGCGCTCGACACGGGTCGCGGCGGCGCACAGTGGGTGAAAAAAAGAGGTCCCCTTTCATAGGATTTTTGAAAAAATAAAAATGTTTATTATCCGTTTAAGGTATGCGGTTTTATTGGACATATCAGTACATTGAATAATAAAATAGTTTGGGGAATTTCCTTTTAATCTAACACCATAAAGCACGGGCTTTAGAGTTTCAAATGTATGAAAACGGAATTTGTTTTGCTCATAACTTGTATCGGTCTTCTACGGTCAAGCTGAAACTTATAGGGATTATTACCGGGTCTGTTACGAAGCCATGTGACCTTTGACCTTCACCCCGGACGGCCCCGTTCAAAAGATACGAATTTTTCAAAATGCTTATTAGGGTAATTTTGCTTTACGGGGTTATGTGTCTCAATAAACAGTTTGTTTATGTTTCTTGCCCAGCATTTAGTTATTAATACAGCGCAGATTATTATCTAATAAAACTATACATATATATATATAGATAACGACACCATACAACTTAACTTTAAATAAAAGCGTCCTTATTCAAAAGATATGGAATTAATATAAATAGATAAAAGAAATAGTTTTAAGAAAAAGAAAACAAGAATACAATATTGTAAAGAATTACAATGAAGTCGTTTACAGCCTACAATTTAATCTTTTGTTTGACAATCGCTTAAAAGCCGCGCGCCATTAACGAGAGCATCATTACATATAAACAATACAAACTCTATTGTTGCAGGTTTTGAGGAATTCAAAGGGTTACCCACAGTCATTACCTGCCGTTGTTTGCCTATAATAATTAATTTTGTCAAACAAACATACTTACACTTACAATGTCTATCTAAGAAAGGGTTTGATCAAATATGTTTATTTTGGGATACCTAGAACTTTAACTGACTAAGCTTAAAATGAACAAAGTGTTTTTCCAGATAAACTAGCTGGTTATTAATATTAGTAAATGTAGTAAGGGAGATTCCGATATGTTACTGCAAAACGAGAAAATAAACTATTTACATTATGAATAAAACAAAATTATTAACATCAATATTTTTATTTACAAAACTTAAATTACTAACTAAGCTTGATATCATAAATTAAATAATGCATAATAAGAAAGCCACAACTGTATAAATTACTACACACATACAAGCTAAAGTATAAAAGATTAGTAGAACTCAAATTGGCTACAACAGTTCTTAAATATGTAAACTGTTTATATTAATATGATACAAAGATACAAAAAAATAAAAATACAAAGTTTGATATAATTTGATTTGAGGGAAAGAACACATACTAATCAAAGTCATAATCAGATACATTACCTACATCTACAAACTCTATATTTTCCTTATCTTCACAAGAAGTTAATAATAATGATTTAGCTTCATTTGTGAGAGGTTTATTTCGTTGACATATTTTAGGCCTGAAACTTGATAGGTATGGGTCAGACGATATTAACAAATTATTGATAATATCTTCATTTGTTGCAATCCTGCTAGATTTACGCGAGTGGAAGGTTCTGTAGTTTTTAAAATCTTTGTTACGAGCTTCAGAGGCCTCTTCAGAGAGCTTGCCGATTGGTATAAAGTTATTGTGCTCTATTATATCGGCACCATGAATGAGTAATTTATGCACGCTTGAGGGCATATAATACCATTCATAGAGCTCGACATATTTGCGTGCTGTAGCAGCACAATATTGGCGGAATTTTTCCACGTCCACAAACTCTCCACATGAGATAGCCTGAAGAATCACTCCAAATCTTCTAACGACTTCTTCATCAACACCCGTTATTTGAGCAGTAATTTGAGGATTAACAAAAAATCTTCTTGCTGTGTTTCCATCGTTGCTTGTACCAGCCCCTTGTTTAACAACGTCCACAAGTAGCCCCGTTTCAGTCCGGAATTGTTCTTGAATAGCCTTTTTTCTTTGGCTTAACTGTTGCTTCAAATCTTCGCCCTTAGCTTGCCATTTCTTGAAGTCGAGACGGTAAGCAATATGTAAGATACATTCCATGCATCTAATTCGTGCATGGAGGGAAGACAGACCGAACTTAAACATGTCTACAGACTGGGTTCTCTGAGTAACCTTTTCGATATCATTCATTTCTTTTGGTTTTGCTTTGCATATATCGCATGTAGCTGTGGATGTATCTGATAAATGTGAAGTTATTTTACCATCAATCATCGTCATATGCAGAACGTGTTTTTCATTTGCACCATCGATAACAGTTGGATGTAGAGCAGCAATTTCCGTATCAATTGAAGTCATTTCTTCTTTAACATTCAAATCGTTCTCTTTAGCAAACTTAAAATAAATGGGTCGACAGTAAAACGTTGAAGACGCTTTGGGGTTTTCCCATATTATTTCATCAGTACCATCTCTCACCAGTTTTAACGGCACAAATGAACACATGAAGATGCTTGAATCATCGCCGTCAATTTTTTGTTGGTAGTTGCTTTGCCCAGATGCACCGTCAAACCCCCATTTACTGATAAGAGTCGAATTACTGCCAGTTAAATCAGTTTCCAGAGTTTTTAATAGTCTCTTGACCGTAATATCTAAAATAGACTGAAGTTTAAGTTTAACTTCAGTCTCAGTTATTACCATGTCTTCTTTTTCAACGTAGCACTCCTTCTTCTCTTGCTTCAAAGCATCATACGATGGAAGTATATCACACCCCATGTCTCTCATTGTCTGCCTCAATGTAATATACTGCCATTTCGATAATTTCAGTGATGTTGAAATACCGAGTGCCTTATCGGTATGACAAGTTCGTTTCGTCGATTTCAGGCAGGCTCGCAGCATTGGCGCATCTTCAGGCTTTTTAATCAAATGCTTCACTAATTCTATAAAGTCCGTTTGGTTTTCATTTTCCGCTTTCCTAGCCAGGGCATAAGCAAGTGTCTCAAAATCGTTTTCGGCAATGAGATTTTCAGTTCTTCTTCTTTTTTGCAGTGGACTCAAATTGGCAAATTCTTTTCGAGGACTAAATGTAGCGGTTGATGTCGACACAGCCACACTATGAGGAACAGTGCATTCCGTTGATAAACTAGGTCTTGTTACTGTTGAAATACTTGTTGAAGGATCTTCAAAACTCGTCATAATATTTGATTGTTCTTCAGTTATGTCTAGTGAAACAAACTCTGGCCATTTTATTTCTTGGTCCAACCAGTCAGCAAACTTCTTTATAAAATTCCCTTGTGTGTAATTAGCTGACTTCCATTTGCGTTTAAGATTACTCGTATATGTAGCACAAAACGTTTTAAGAGTTGTCTTTTGTTCTTCAGATAATGAAAATCTCACTGAATCGAGTACTTTTTGAAATAACATGTCGGCACTAAAAGATTTTTGCCTCATATATATATATACGTCGAGATTAGACACAAGCCCTTCCATTCTGAGCAACTTAAAATTTGAGCAAAGAGAACGTTACGGTACGAATCAATAATGATAAGTGAAATGAAATACAGGTGTACTCCGTATTTATTATAATCGAAGTCATTGTTGAATAATAATAATAACAACGTTTTATTTATTCAACAATGACTTCGATTATAATAAATACGG